ACACAACCACTACGACATATGACCGAAGGACTGGGCCGCACAACAGAACGACCACGCCGGACGACACAACGACCACGCTACATGACACAACCACTACGACATATGATCGATGGACCAGGCCGCACGACAGAACGACCACGCCATATGACACAACCACTACGACATATGACCGAAGGACTAGGCCGCACGACAGAACGACCACGGCGTACGACACAACGATCACGCTACATGACACAACGACTACGACATATGACCGATGGACCAGGCCGCACGACAGAACGACCACGCCGGACGACAAAACGACTACGATTTATGATCGAAGGACAAGGCCAGACGACGGAACGACCACGCCATATGACAGAACAACTACGACACATGACGGAAGGACTAGGCCACACGACAGAACGACCACGCAATATGACACAACGACGACGACATATGACCGAAGGACTAGGCCGCACGACAGAAGGACCATGCCATATGACACAACCACTACGGCATATGATCGAAGGACAAGACCGCACGACAGAACGGCCACGCCATACGACAAAACGACCACGCTACATGACACAACGACTACGACATATGATCGAAGGACAAGGCCGCACGACAGAACGGCCACGCCATATGACACAACCACCACGACACATGACCCAAGAACTAGGCCGCACGTCAGAACGACCACGCAATATGACACAACGACGACGACACATGACCCAAGGACTAGGCCGCACGTCAGAACGACCACGCAATATGACACAACGACGACGACATATGACCGAAGGACTAGGCCGCGCAGCAGAACGACCACGCCATATGACACAACGGCTACGACATATGATCGAAGGACAAGGCCACACGACAGAACGACCACGCCATTTGACACAACCACCACGACACATGACCGAAGGACTAGGCCACACAACAGAACGATCACGCCGTACGACACAACGACCACGCAACATGACACAACGACTACGACATATGACCGAAGTACTAGGCTGCACGGCAGAACGACCACGCCACATGACACAACCACCACGACATATGACCGATGGACCAGGCGGCACGACAGAACCACTACGACACGTGACCAAAGGATTAGGCCACACGACAGAACGACCATGCCGTATGACACAAGAACTACGCCAATCGACAGAACAACCACGTCATATGGCCGAAGGACTAGGCCGCGCGACACAACGACCACAACATATGACACAACAACTACGACATATGGCACAACAACCACGCCATATGATCGAAGGGCGAGGCCGCACGGCAGAACGACTACGCCATATGACATGACGACTACGCCATACGACAGAGCGACCACGCTATACGACAGAACGAATACGACATACTACAAAACGACTATGCCATACGACATAAGGACTAGGTCACACGACAGGTCGACCGCGGCAAGCAACACAACGGTAGATGGTAAGAAACAAATCTGAAGTACTTCAGATCTGAACTGTGTTCGCTCTGTAAGCAAAATCTGTGCCCGAACACAAAGTAGTACTCTTATGAGTCAAATTTACTAGATGAAATTACAAAACTGATTTGTACAAACTGAAGCGTATCCACTCATTTGCAAATAACTATCTATTGTCAGTTGACGTAAATATACTGTAATCAGAGGCTGCTTGCACCAGGAATTTGCGAAAATGACGGAAAATAAATGCCTAGAAGTGAACAAAAATAAAAGCAAAAAGGGGAATAAAATAATTATTTAGTTGGCCAGCAACTTTCTGCTGGCCAGGTATATAATTTCTGACTGACGGCGCGAAGACGCGATTTTTTTACAGTTCACTGCAGGTTTTTGTTGCTAACGAAATTGTTTTTTCCGACAGATGCTACTAGCTGTTAGAGCCGTTTGATCACTACTACTGTAAGAAAACTTTCCTTTAAAATTTTTGCTTTCTAGCTTTCTGGTAGTCGAGTTAATAGTTTACCTACCAAAAATTTCACGGGCGTGTGCGTGGGAATCACGCGCATCTATCCACTGGATTGCACGCGGACGGGGAATACCCCTTAAAATTTCAGCCTTCTAACTTCTCCAGTTACCGAGTTAGCAGCTCACTAGCCAAGAACTTTCATATTTCCTTACCTGGGAAACCAAGTGTGTGGAGGGTGCCCATTTTGAATAAAGGAGCCCGTGCATGCGCGCAGATTAAGTTCCCGAAGTATCAGCCCTATAGCTTTTGTAGACCTCGGGATGACAAGTCAGTACAGACAAACATAGAAATGCTCACATACAGACAGCCTCCCACAGTATGCGTTTTTGCATTGCACAGATGAAATCATTCGCCAGCGCACCGACTACCAGTGCGAAGATACGTTTTTTTGCACGGTTCCCTGGCGGGTTTTTGCTAGTGGCATTGTTTCTCCCGACAAATGCTCCTGGCTAAAAGAACTGAGACTGCTCATCATGAATGTAAAAATTATTACAGTGACCCCCAATCCTTGCTCAATATTTCAGCTCTTCACCTGCTCTGGTTGCGAAGTTACGTCAAATTTCAAGTGTATATACGTGATACGTACGTGACACATGAAACGGGGTGAAAGTCATTATCATGTCCACCGGGTCAAAGTCGCTGCCAGTCATGCTCAAAGAGTTTCAGCCCTCTAGCTTCTTCAGTTCCAAAGTTACAGAACTATGTGAAAATTTCACGTGCTCGTAAGTAAGGTACAGAGGGGCTGGAAAGTTCAGTTTACTTTCACGCACACGTCAGTGGGCAGCAAGCAACGCAGCAAAATTACAGCTCTCCAAGTTTCTTTTTCAGCTTAAATCCCGAGTTGTCAAGATGAAAGCTGAATCCCGAGTTGCCTAGGGTGCGTGAAAGCTAAATTTGAAATCTTTGGAATAAACGTGGCCGAGAGAACATCTCTGTGAAATTTCAGCCTTTAGCTTGCGCTGCTTTCGAAAACGCTTTCCCTTAAGAAAAACTTTCGCGCGTCCGTACGTGAGAAGCATGCGAACGTGAGTGCCCATCATGGGGATAAGGGTCTGCAAATATGTGTTAAGTTGCCAAAGTTTTAGCCTTATGTTTTATAGGTATAGAGATGAAAATTCGGTAGAGACGATTTTATGTACACAGACACATATACATACTCGCACACTCAGGCATCCCTGGACAATATGCGTTTGTGCATTGTATAAGTGCAAAAAACTTGTAAAAAACGCATGAAAACTAAATAAAAGAGAACCTGAATTTATGAAAGAAAAAACGGAAAAGCGCGAAATCAAGGAATCGGAACTTATGAATAAAAGCTAAAACCCAGGCTGCAACGCACGAGACAATTTTATGCGTTTTTGCTGTGCAGCAAAATGCACTCGCTTTCCGAACACACACACACAGACAGCCTCTCGACAATATGCGTTTTTGCTGGCTGCAGCAGCGCTATAGCGCTATAGCGCTGCTGTACAGCGCAAAAACGCATATTGTCGAGAGGCTGTCTGTGTGTGTGTGTTCGGAAAGCGAGTGCATTTTGTCACCCACTTTCATCTACTAGGAAAGCTGGGAGGCTGAAACTTTGGATGCATGTTCCTACCGCGTGTGTCATCCTCCCGTTTTAACATCTTTCCCCATACGCGCCTAGACCCACGTACGGGACCTCCAAAGAAATATGTTGGCGGGAAACGATTTCTCGAACGAAGCAAGGTAGAAAGCGGAAACTTTGCAGGGATATTCTCTATGCGCGTACGAAAAAAACTCAGCTGTCAAGCACCCCAACCACAGCCTCAAGCAGCTCCTGAACTCAAAAATCGTTAGAAATCCATCCCAACTCGGACCTGAACCCAGTGGTGTATGTAAATGACACTAGTTAATTTGCGTAAATGGTTTTTTTTTGTCGAACGACT